TGTCGGGCAGAAAAATGGCCACGGACCATGTGTCAGGGGCGGAAAAATGGCCGCGGACCACGTGTCGGGCAGAAAAATGGCCACGGACCATGTGTCAGGGGCGGAAAAATGGCCGCAGACCACGTGTCGGGCGGAAAATGGCCGCGGACCATGTGTCAGGGGCGGAAAATGGCCGCGGACCATGTGTCAGGGGCGGAAAATGGCCGCGGACCATGTGTCAGGGGCGGAAAATGGCCGCGGACCATGTGTCAGGGGCGGAAAATGGCCGCGGACCATGTGTCAGGGGCGGAAAATGGCCGCGGACCATGTGTCAGGGGCGGAAAATGGCCGCGGACCATGTGTCAGGGGCGGAAAATGGCCGCGGACCATGTGTCAGGGGCGGAAAATGGCCGCGGACCATGTGTCAGGGGCGGAAAATGGCCACGGACCACGTGTCAGGGGCGGAAAAATGGCCGCGGACCACGTGTCGGGCGGAAAATGGCCGCGGACCGTGTCATGGGAGGGAAAATGGCTGCGAATCCTGTTCATACCCCGAGGCGGAGTTCACAAACCGAGGCAAAATTTTGTGGCCAGAGCTGGTCGTAACCCGAAAAGTTCATTAACAGAAGCATTCATAACCCGGGGTTCCACTGTATACAGTATTAAGGGAAGCTGGACTAGAAGTCCAACTTCTGCTTTGAGCATGGTTTTAAAATTGGAGGAAGAAACATCAATAACTTGCACTGTGCAGATAACACTACTTTGATACCTGAAAATGCAAAGGATCTGCAGATACTAGTAATAAAAGTCAAGGACCACAGTGGAAAAAATGGGAGCAAAATTAAATATAAAGAAGACCAAACTAATGACAAGTAGAACAACCAACCTTAGAATTGACAATGAAGGTATCAAAATAGTGGATAGCTTCTGCCTTTTAGGATCAACCATCAACAGTAAAGGAACAAGTGATCAAGGTATAGACCACAGATTAGCACTTGGCAGAATAGCCATGAAGGCCTTGGAAAAGATGTTCAAATGCTTTGATGTACCTACTGTATATCTACAAAGATCAGAATCATGCAAGCCATGGTATTTCCTGTGACACTCTATGGAAGCAAAAGTTGGACTTTGAAGAAGCAAGATAGGAAAAGTATTGATGCTTTTGAACTTTTAAGGAGTCATCTCTGACTCCTAAGAATACCATGGACAGCCAAGAAAACAAACAAATGATTCATCAAACAAATCAACCCAGAGTTCTCACTGGAGGCACAAATGACCAGGATCAAATTATCCTACTTCAGACACATTATGAGAAGATCTAATACTCTGGAGATGGCTCTAATATTAGGAAAGGTAGAAGGAAAGAGAAAAAGAGGATGACCGGCAGCAAGGTGGATGGACTCAGTTATAGCAGCAATGAGGGCACCGTTTGAAGACCTGAAAGACCAAGTTAGGGACAGATTGTAATGGAGAAAATCTATCTGTGTGTTTGCTAAGAGTTGACAATGACTTGATGGCACATAATCAATTTTTAAAAAAAAGTTAAGCCCAATTCCCTGCTCAGTGTAGGAATTTAAATTAAAATGTCCTAGACAAATGATTGTCTAGCCTTGACTTGAATGTATTCTGTGAAGATGAACCCACCACTCTGAGTAATTGGTTCCACTATCAAACTGCTCTTACCATTAGGAAGATTCAATCAAAGTCTGTAACCTGAATCCATTATTTTATGACTTATACTATGGAGTAATTGATTGAAATCTGTTATATCTCCCATTGATCTTATTTTCTCAAGGCTAAACATACCCAGTTCCTTCAGTCTCAAATGAGCTTCATATGAGTTAGTTTTCTCAGTGTTCTTCTCTGAACCTTTTCCAGTTCTTCTAAATCCTAGGGTGCCCTGAACAGGACATACTACTCAAGGTGGGATCTGTGAAGCCCCAGGTAGCAAGAGCAGTGAAGAACAACACAGATTTTGGGAAAATATCTTTTGCTCAATATAATTGCAGCCTCAATTATATTGAGCTAATTAAGATGAAGTCTCCTTGAAATGCTTTTTCCCCCCACATTTCTCACATCTGGATTGTCGTCTCTTCCAAGATAAATCTTCAAATGCTTTCCTACAATTTCTTACAGGCCTGATCAGTGACATAAAATTGTGTTTTCCTCTTTGTTTTTGAGCCACATCACACTGCTGACTCATATTCAATTTGCAAGCAAATAATATTCCAAGGTATGTTTTTCACAAGAGTTGGTTCTGATTGAAGTGGCATATAAGCCTTGTAAATAAAAAACGCATGCATGCTTACATACACATACATACATCCTATTACCAAGATAAATATTCCCTATCCTACATCTGTGCATTTGATTTCTATTTCCTAACTGAAGAAGCATTTGTTGCTGTTAAATTTCATTCTGTTATTTTTGGACCATTGCTCTAACCTACTGAGATGGTTTTGATAGTTATTCTTGTCTTCTAGGGCATTAGCTATCCCATTCCTGTGATCACACTTTACAAAATTTAGTTGTAAATTTTCCTGTGATTTCTCTCATCTTTAAAAAATACCTCATTTTCTTTTTCTTGTTATACAGTATTCCTCTATTTGCTGATGTTCTTAATTAAGCTTCCTTTCTTCCTTCCTTTTATACCCCACCACAGTCCAACAGCACATTTGGCAGTTTAGCAGGTATACAAACATTAAAAAACACCAGAAAATCCAAAAATCTGAAAAACAATCCAGAAAATAGGTATTGAATTCCAAACATCTTCCAGAAGAGCTCCATTTGCAGCTGCCTCTAGAAGATGGGTAGAGTTGGGACTAATCTTCCTTCCAGCGGGAACTCATTCCACAGGGTCACCACAGAAAATCCAAGAGCACAAATTGGCTCCTTCAAGGGTATTGCTGACTTGCTTAATGTTAATGTCAGTTAAGACATCTTATGTTTTTCTTGATGCCCAAGGCTTTCATACTGCATATTTTATTAGCTATTACTAGGACTTGTTTTGAAAGCCACTGGGATGTTACTCTTTTTAATACTGATACCATTAGTGACTATTCAAAATAAGTAGATATTACCTGATCAGATTTAAGTGTTAGACTGAACCAAACTAAAAGTTGAGTAGCTATCTTTTTGTTTAACTGTTACTTTTGCTGTCTTCACTAAGCAGTCTGTTTATAGATTCTTTTTATTCTTCATAGACCTAATGAAACTCTTTTAGTGTTCATAGCATCCTTTGCCAATCTTAGCTCATTCTGAGCTTTAGGTTTCCTGGCATCATCTCTAGTACTCTTCCTTGGTGACCTATTAAAAGTATTATGTAAAGAGGCTCAGGACTGTGTCTCTCTGCCAGCAGAATAAGTACAAAAATCGAACAGTACCAAATTTGATGTGGTTGGTACCAAAAGCTGAAGCTGACAAAAGGCTGCATTTTAAAAAACAGACCAAATCCAGCTGTAGGCTGCAGAGAAAAGAATTCCAAGAATTCACTTCATGTATGGGAAACGCAATTCAGCAGCGACTCAGAATGTTGCCAGCAGTCCATTTTAAGCCCTGGTCCCTCTTCCATGATCCAGAGCAGAGCTATTTTTAAAGAGTTGGAAAGAATTCCAAAAGCTATGCCCTTCATGCTTACCCTACCTTGTTTGTTTTCAAATCTTCATAAATGTTGTGTAGCCATATTAACTTCTGTCTTCTATTTTTTCTTTCTTTTTTTTATTAAAGTTGTTGGCAGATATGTTTTTAGTACCTTGTTCAAGTAGTCCTTCTCAGCTTGAACTCTTTTCCCCATTACTTCCTTTTGCCATGGAATCCTATTTATTGTTGCTCCTATTTATTGTTAAGAAAACCTTCTGAAATCTAAGATACATGTTCAACTTCACAGAGTTTTAATTTTCCTGAAAAATCATGCCTCCAGCATTAAATGTTCATTTTCCTCCAATGTCCCTGCTTCTTTTATTTCATCAATTAAATGTTATCCATTGGTTAGGATTAAGTCAAGGATAGCTGACCCTCCTCCACTCTGAGAATTTCAGCAACAGAAATTCAGCTAGGAATTTCTTGAAAAGATTGTGCTTGGTAGAGGTCATCTCAGCAGATTCCCCATCGCTACTGCTACATGCAACTTTAAAAGATCTATATTTTGATTTTGGAAGGCACCATTTATATCTCCATAGTTGTGCAGACAATAATAAATAAGAGTACTGATTTTATTTGTTCCTCCACTTATTTTAATTCAGATGTTCTCTAGAATTGCCAAGTTCATTTAGCTGGATTTCTGGACAGGTATAAATTATTTTAAAATGCAGTATGTAATAGAGCAATCTGTACAAAACTATTTGCATTATCCATTCCAGGTTTCCAACATCCACCTGAGTACTGGCAGGTTCAGCCAGCGCTGCACGCCTAGGAACTTGCCCAGCCGCGCTTTAGTCAATTTCACTGCTCGAGCACTAGCAGAAAGAGGAAGTGCGAAACCACTAATGAATGGGCCACCTGGCGCCACTTTACTAATCTGGAGTGGATGCCTTGTGTTAACGGGGCGCTATAGACAAAGGAAAGAGCTATAGACAAAGGAAAGAGCTATAGACAAAGGAAAGAGCCGCAGAATTGAGGAAGAGAACAGCGCGCAAGGGGGAGCTCGACAGAAGCCCCAAGGAAGGCAACAACCATGCCATAGGCAACAACAATCAAAGAAACAAGAGAACTGGGCTGTACCTGCCATTCCAGTAGAAGGGGGGATTACAGGGGGCAATCTGTAATCTAATTTGTAATATGTAACCTAGCAACGGGGCCCAGCCCGTGGGGGGATTGAGACAACTATAAAGGAGTAAAGTAAATGTGCCAAGCCAGTCCTGGCTTTGTTTGTAACTGTTACATTACG